TTGCGATGCATTTTCGGACACAACTTCACCGATATCCCAAATCACATTCCTGAATCGATTGGTATTACATCCGCCAATATGCTCGCCTTCTTTCTGTTCTGGCTAGTTCACTTTCCATTCTGCGCCTTCCGACCATATCAGCTGCGAGCCTTCTTTTGGTTCAAATCGATTGTTGTTTTGCCAGCCGTGTTTGGACTTTTCATTTTCTGTATGGCCAATACAAAGGGAAAGGTCGGATCAGTATACCAGAGCACGCTTGGGGAAGGGGCTGCCTATGGATGGTTCATTATGTATGGCATCAACAGTGGCATGGGCAATACTGCAACTTGTAAGTTTGGATTCACAATATTCCCTGGATTGACATTTCGCCGTGCGACTCATCTACCCCATTTTTCCAAATGCGGTCTTAGGGTCTATATACACAATGTGCAACGAAAATCTGCTAACTCGTCACTTGTGTAGTGATCACAAATCAACCAGATATTGCGAGATGGAGTGCGACGAGATCGGGCGCACAATGGTCGCAACTTCTTACTCAACCTCTATCCGTTACGCTATCTGCCACATTTGGAATCTTGGCCACGGCTGCGATCAACAACAATTGGGGTTTGGATCTATGGAATCCTTGGGATTTGTTAAGCGCCATTTTGGATAGATATTGGTCGGGCAGCACACGTTTTGCTGTCTTTCTCTTGGCATTCTGCTGGATGGTATCCATTCTTGGTACAAACATTGCGGCGAACATGATTCCATTCGGTGCTGATAGCACCATGTTGTTTCCTCGATTTCTCACAATTCCCCGCGGGCAATATGTTGTGGAATTCTTGGCTTTTGCCATCTGTCCATGGAAGATTCTCGCTTCTGCGTCGGTCTTTACCACATTCCTTTCGGGTTATGGTATATTTATGGCAAGCGTGGTTGCAATAATGGTCTGCGATTGTAAGTTCTTCTACCCCAACACATATCCTATACGGATAACTCCTGAGCTAGCAAGCTTGAAGATAGTTGGAAGCAGTTCATTTGATTCCCTACAACTAATGCTAACTTTTTTTCTAAGATTATGCACTCACTAAGGGCAATGTATTCATTGGGCATCTCTACAACGGCACAAAAGCGAACAAGCACTACTATTATTTCCATGGCTGGAATGTGCAAGCGATTATTGCATACATTTGTGGTGTTGCGCTCCCTTTTCCAGGGTTTGTTGGAACTCTAGGCGCATCCGTATCCCAGAGTGCTACGAATCTTGGACGTCTCGGATGGTTGTTATCGTTTTCTGTCAGTTTCGTTGTGTACTTTGCTCTTTGCAAGATATGGCCGACTCCGAACCAGAAATTAATCAAGGAAATGGGTCTTGGATGGGAATCCCAATACGGTGACATTGTAATTGCTGAGGATGGTACACAAATTGCAATCAATGCAGACGCGGTTACAGCGATCAGCGATGATTCTGAATCTGTCAATAGAACTACAGTGGCATACCGAGGAGAAAAGGAATCTTGAGGGACAAGACTGGGGCAGCTTTACGATAATGAACGATCTTAGTATTGGTATTTATCATAGATACTAAACAAATCAAATACTTTTAAAAATCAACTTGGTCCCAGTATGATAATTTCTTAAGTTATATACAGCATAGTAGCTACAACCATCTAGACGATGTAGCCGCAGATGAAGACATAAACCGTTCCGTATCAGTTAATCGTAAAAGTACCTGGATACTTGATATGTCGGTAGACAAGTGGTGCTGCAGGGTAGCATAGTCTATACTGCAATAGGGTTAGTGCTTATCAGCAGAGATACGAACATCTCTAATCTCGTATAATCAAATATAATACAATCGCTTCTTGAATCACTTGCAATGTGAAACATAACTACACTTGCATCACGACAGCGATGATAACCACAAGTTCCATCATAATTCACTACAGCACATATACTATATACGACATCCAGTGATTTTAATTGCGGCTCAAAGTCCATTAGGGCTAGATCGGCTTAACCTTAGTGGGCTTAGTGCACCACATGCTATCTCACTAGGTAGACTTTTAGCGAAAAGCGCCCACAAAGTTGCCACCATTGTCCATCACTAGAGCATCCATGCTCTTTGATCCCTTCGATCTTTAATCTTTAATCTTTAATCACACTCGGAATACGATCTTTCATTCTCGTATATGACGTCGCTTAGCACTGAGTAAAAGAATCCTCTGAGATTCAACCCACCGGCTTTCCTTGCCAACCTTTCTTTTCAATCTCTGTCAAGATGGATTCACCGTGGAGATCAGAGTTATATAAGCCATCCTCAGCTTGTGAAATTGCTCCTCATCAAATTTTAGAGGCCGAAGTTCGTCTCAGAATTCTCTTTTCCCTGTAGTCCTGGGTAAGTTACTCGAAGTTTTCACTGATCAATTTCTTCTCTTCTTAGGCCTTGGAGTCCGAAATCAAAGACTTTGCTCAATTCACAAAGGATATTACAGGAACCCCATACGACCCGGAAAACTGGCTTAATCGGGGTAATTCCCTCCGTCGATTAGGGTATCCGGAACTTGCTCTTGGCGATGTTCAAAAGGCTAGGCTTCTAGTCGAAGCAGCTTTAGAGAATGATTCGACCTTAGGTGCTGATGCTTACAAAGCATATAGCCAGAAGATATGGCAGCTCCATCAAACTCACCCAGCATGGATGCCCAGGAAAGCACAGGTTGCTACGCCAGAATCTCTTCGAGCTTTAGTTACAATTCTATTAAAAAGACTGGAACTTCAGATTTGGTCGGAGCTGATGGAAGGATTAATGGCTTCCAACTGCTGCGCAGATTATCTCGAGGTAAGTAAAGATGCGGTGGCCAAGTTCCCAGATGATCAGGTTTTCCCTTCGGAAGTAACAAATGCGGAATCATGGTTTGAGCAACGGCAAAATATCCTTCAAGGATATGTTGACGATGAAGAAATGACAGCCGAGGCCATGAAAACTACTCTTTACAACGGAGGCGTCTACCCAACAGCATATCCATGGATGACCGAAGATGTTGTCGCAAGATCCGACGAAGTAATAGAAAAGGTGGCGGCCGAATTTTCCTCTGCATCATCCAATTGCGTAGTCTCAAAGAGCACAGTTAGATTGGCCATCTCGCCTGAAGAAATATCGGAGATAGATGTACTTGGCGTTGTGGCAACAAGAGATATTTTGGCAAAAGAATCAGTTCTTGTTGACCCGACGCTTGCTGCTGTAGTTGACAGTGTCGACCGCTGCCCAGCTTGTTGTGGGCCATTCTTGGATAAAATCGAAAATTCATGTTGTAAAACTCTGTACTGTAGCTCTTCCTGCTCTCAAATTGCACTGGATAGTTATCACACCATCGTTTGTGGTAAAGATCTAGATTTCTTACACGGGACCGAATCAGAATCGTTGTCAAATCCCACAGAATCGTCTATGGGATCCAACTTATTTCTCCGCGTTCTCGCCCTTTCTTTAAAAGAAAATGCCGCCAGTCCTCTGAAAACCTCTCTCATCTCACGTCTCACGCCCGCTTACAATCCAAATAACCCTCAACCCATTGCGTTCCATTTCAAAGATCACATCATTACCCCAATCCGCATTCTTCAGGGGCTTGGTATCGATGTATTCGCGAACAGCGCATATGATACATGGGTTATGCACACTATCTATTGTCGTTTGCAGAACAACAAACATGGGCAAACCTTCGACGACATTTGCGGAACAGCGGTAAATCCTTTATATTCGATGTTTAATCACAGCTGCGATCCCAACATTGATTGGAGACACGACGATGAAAACAGCACAGTTACCATGTTTGCTGAGAGAGATATCAAGAAAGGGGAGGAGATGTTCATTTCATATATCGGGAAAGGCAAGAGTCTTAAGGAAAGACAACGGAAACTTATGCCTTGGTTTGGCATGGATTGTGCATGTCCCAAGTGTGATGAGGAGAAACTAGAAACGATGGCGGCAGGTATCACCATCTGAGCCGGGGATTTCTAGTAGCGAAACCATTCTTAGATAGACACCAGACCAACTTCCGGGCTCAATCTTACTCATCAAAATTTATCCATTGCTTTTTTTTCTGACCATTGAAATTGGCATTGACAAGCCTAGGAAATGATCCCTTATTATCTAAGCTTCTTGCAGACTTTTGTCTATGCACGTTTGGCACAATAGCATAAGTGTTATGTCTGTTATGTATCGTATGAGCCTCGACGACTTTACATCACACTAGATCATTATAAAATGAAGTCATCTCATACTCCCTATTCCTGGGTGAGAAACACAGTCAAATTTATGGATTTCGATCCACTTTAACGATCATATGCCAAAAAATTTATTATATAACAGGAAAAATGTGATATAAAGTTATCGAGCTTACACAGAAGATCTATATGATATATCATAGAGTTGAATCTGCTGACATTGGGAAAGATTAATCATACGCATGCATATAGCCGTGTCAACGATAAGTAATAATACCAATCACGTTTGACTTGTGCCATTGAAGCCTCATATTTTTGTGTAAAAAAAAGCGGATGTTGTCAGTTTCGTCCCTGGTTTTCAATATGAGGATGTCGTATTATTCGTCGCCTTGTTTCAACTAGCTAATACTTCCTCCTCCAATGATATCTTAATTTTTCTTGCTTATCTGCAAAATTATGGGCCTTGTTAATCGATCTCCAATGATGCATTATATTTCCTTGCATTAGCACCTGTCATCATTCTGCAGTATTCAATATCATGGCTGATTATTCTCACGGCATCCCAATGCAGCACCTATTACGTTGCGTTGAGTGGGTTTCTAAACTTCCGCGAGCTCGGCAGTTGCATCATAGTTCAATGGAAACTTGTGCTACCCATATATCATCTCTATTATCTCAAGACAATGAGACATGTTGCTTCCATCGCTCAATGATCATTCAAATCCTGCACAAGTATTTGAAATTGACGTTAATTTTTATAGCACGAGCTACATGCCAAGATGTTTTGCTCCTTCAACATGACGACCATTACTTATCTACAAATTATGCTTTTTCTATTCTTGTTCCTGTGGACCATCTATGGCGCTATATATCGTCTATACCTAAGTCCCATTGCGAAGTTTCCGGGCCCAAAGCTTGCAGCTTTGACATCGTGGTATGAGATCTACTTCAACGTCGTGCGTGATGGACAATGGCTTTGGGAAATCAAACGAATGCACGAAGAGTATGGTATGTTTGATGCCCTCCTCAACGTTTTATTGTGACTGAAAATTGTAGGTCCAATCGTGCGCATTAATCCTTATGAATTGCACATTAATGATGTGGATTATTATGATGAATTATATGCGGGCAATACACGAAAACGTGAAAAGTAGGTCATGGACAAAATTTAGCTTAAGCTGGGAAGTTTGGGTGCTCCGATCTCTATATGAAGTCCTCGAGTCGAGCCATTTCAACTCATGCGATATCCTAAAAGTCATTGAATTGCTGATTTTATACTACTCCTTGCTCGCGTATTCTTAAAGCACCAAGAATGGCAGGAATGGCAAGGTTCATTGAGGTGTCTAAGAATGCACTTGTACTTTTACTTCTCACCTCAAAAAATCATTAAATCGTGTAGAGCCTTTGTACTAATAAGCAATGACAGATATCCATGGTTTGTTAGTGCTGGTGGTTCTCCAGGAAGTTCTTTTGAGACTATAGGACATGACCTCCATCGTCTTCGAAGAAACGCCGTCAACCCTTTCTTCTCCAAGCGATCTATCGTGGCTATGGAGCCGCTTATCAAATCAAAAATCTCTCTACTGTCTAATGTATTTCAGTCTCATTTCGCCCAAGCAACCCCCATCAATCTTCGGGTAGTGTTCTCATCGCTTACTTTAGATGTGATTTCTGATTATTGTTACGGGGAAGCCTTCGGTGCTCTGATTGATGAGAATCTGGCTCAATTATGGAGCAACACACTTTCTCAAATCATGTCTATAACGACTATTGTTATGCATTTCCCCATAGTGTATACAATTCTATCATGGCTACCTGATAGCCTAGCTGGGCCGGTGATGGGACATCACAGAGTCAGTCGCAAGAATCCATCTCCATGTTCACAAACTGGCACCTGACTATAGATACTAGAATTCAAGAAAACAAGTGGCGCGTGTTTTGAATCATGAAGATATTGGAGGTCGTCAGAATACAATATTCCACGAACTTCGCGATAGTAGTCTTCTTCCCCCCGAAGAAAAGACTCTTAGGCGACTGGCTGATGATGGAAATATCATGGTTGGAGCTGGAGGTGAGACCACAGCTCAAACTTTAGTCGTATTGTTTTATCATCTCCTGGATAACCCAAAAATGTTGTCGAGGATCAAGGATGAAGTTAGCACCTTGGGTGAAGACATTACGTGGGGGAGATTGGAAACCCTACCATTCCTGGTGAGCCAACTCGAGACATTGAAAATTTAGATCGCTACTAACGAACGCACTCACAGTCGGCGGCCATAACCGAAGCATTACGTCTCTCAAGCGTGGTAACCTCGCGTCTCCCTAGAATCGCACCCAATGAAGACATGAAGTTTCAGAAATGGACGATTCCTGCTGGTGTATGTATGACTCTGTTCCATGGCCCCTCTTATTGATCTTCATCGACGTCTAAGGACCTGTTTACCATTCACTCCTCCTTGACTACGTTTACCATTTTGACGGTATCTAGACACCAACAAGCATGTCTTACTTTTTAATCCACTACTCCCCCGAAATTTTCCCCTCTCCTAATGAATTTAACCCGAGCCGCTGGCTTATAGAATCGGTCTCAAACGATCCGACTACAGGAGATACAATGCGCAAACATAGGCTGGACAAGTATTTTGTCCCTTTTTGCAAGGGAACGAGAATATGTCTTGGCATGAAGTATAAAATTCACCATGTCCCTACCTCTCTAGTGTTCTGACTAACAGATGAATCTCAAAAACAGCCTAGCGTATGCAGAATTGTTTCTCACAACAGCGTATATACTCAAACGTTTCGATCTTGAGCTTTATGGAACTACGAAGAGAGATGTGGAAATCAAGAGGGATCATTTTGTTGCGGCACCAGCAGCAGGAAGTAAGGGTATTAGAGTTATAGTCAAGCATGATAACGGGGAGTAAGGAAGTGGCGGGGTGCCATATTTTGAATTGGGTTCTTAGATACTCTGAAACTTTATCGCGGGTCTATACATTACTGTACTATGCATTAAGTTTACGCGAAAGGCCTTTTTACACCAAAACTCACCTTATTCAAAACACAATAAAAGATTGAAATTCTCTTATATTGATATAAAAACTACCGGAACGATAAATATTAATGTAAATATATCAAAAGAATGAATGAATTATTTGATAATGGTTTTATTCTTATTTAATTGAACTTTGAACTCAAAAAATATAGAAGATCACAAAAATCGCTTGATTTGGGTAGAAAAATAGAATATGAAAAATCAACCATCTTTAATCGTTGATATTAAAGGTGTCCACTGCTTTGACGGCGTCTACCGATGCGAATAAATTGTGGTAAGTCAACCCTGGAGGGATTTCTCCACCGGCAACAGGAGGGCCAACACATAAAAGGAAGCTACGGGAGTGCTACTTTCAGTATACAGCCTGACGGTGGACCTCTCACCAAGTGCGGTAGACAAAGCCTGAATAGACACTGACCATTCTCTGTTCTCATCCATCCTCCTCTTAGAACCGCTGAAGACTCCCTCGGGACCGTGGAATGCATTCACAGATGCAGTGACATTAGCAGAAAGCTGAGTTGCGTTTGTAATGATCGCACCGGGAACTAAAGCATACGAATATCCAAAAGTATTAGTGTAGCGAGCAGCATCCGATGTCCAGGGTGCCTCCCTATTAGGTTGGTAGAACGGGGTCAAAGGTGACACAGAAGTATCGCTGTCACCCGGGGCGATTGTAACAGTACAGATGAAGTCAGGTTCTGGAAGCATCCAGACGTTGAGGTAGATCGCTTGCCAGATAATAAAATGACGGTCCACATTGGCGTGGTGAAGCCATAACATTAGATCAATTGCAGAGTGACTCAGCTGACTCATATGACCGTATGGGTCTCCAATAGGAACGTGTACAACGCCATGAGAATTTTCGAGAGATGAGTCAGGAGAGACTTTGAAGGCCATGTTTTAAAATGATGTTGCTTTGGAGGACATGGAATAGATCATACTCATCAAACCTTCAGTGCCTGTGTCTTCATTTACTACATCTGGCTGAGATTTCCCCAGAATCGCTGCGTTAAGGAATCTCAAAGTAGTTGGATCTTGAGCCAAGTCTTCATTTGCAGTGTTGGTACCCATAGTAGGATGTTATTTTGCGTTCAACGAGAACTGCTAAAATCTATAAAGGATAAGAGGGTTTGCAACATTCTGAGTGACGGAGGGTGTGTCGATCTGGAAACGAATAGAATAAATTCAGCATAGAATAAAGAGCTGGACATGAAGGACAATGTCCTTGTATACAAAAAGATGCATAAAAGGCTACCTGAATATGTGCCATACATATACAATGCTAGGATTGTAACAGTTCCTCTTCGTAAAAAGTCCTGTTATGGTTGATCATCTGAGAAGCCACTGTCGGGTACCTAAACTGGTAAAGACCTCTGATTCGAGAGAACAATGGGACAAAAATGAAGATATCTTTTGGAAATTTTCATGAAAATTTGTCTACCTTATGACCGTTCGTTGGTGTCTACCTCCATGTACGTGAAGCTAGGGTGTTATTTGATTCTGGTAAGGTAGATTTCTGAAAGTGGTAAAAAAAAAAAGGCTGACGGTCTGGGAAAGCTTGCTTCTCCAAGAATAACGGCGCGGAAACACGAGTATTGGCGCATAATACATGCATATTAGGAGGCTATAGCAACCAGGCAACTCGCCGGGTCGTCAACCAGCATGTGCTGAAATATAGAAATTTTTGACAATCATATTTCGATTATCGAGTCGTTGAAGAACATACGATGAACCGCCTGACTAGATCTGGACAAACCAGTGCTTGGGTGCAAATTCCCTCCCCCGCCTAGTCCTGACGATTATTGCCGATCAATACGAGCTTCTACACACGTGTCAATGAAAGCGACTAGGCTCAAGTGAAGTCTCACTGAGTTTGGCCATGCCTTACCTTTAAATGCCCTATTCCTGACTATACGAGATGAGAATTGGAGCTGACTGTAGTCAGCAATCTGTTCCACCGCTTTGTCACGAATTTACTCTCTAGATTTGGTTTCGTACGATACCATTGATACCGTTGATTTGATGTACCTTCCCACATTCTGCCTTCCCCAGAAGTAGGGAAGCCTGAATTCGATAGAATACGAAAAACTGCTAGAGCCGCTTGAATCATCAATATGAGGTGCGTAGTATGATAATGGTCACGTTGAGTAAAATTCGATATGTAACAAATTCATTCTAGCCCCCTATTGAAAAAATTGTTACAGAGCCGAAGCTTTGAATCCAGTGATGGTCCCTGTGCTCCTGATATCATAGAGTTTCAGGATCTTCGGTGCAGTAATTCTATGTCCGCTCCGTAGCCATGGTCAAATTGTAGGTATAGGTGGAGTGGATGCGGAGCGTGTAAAATGGTGAAATGTTACCACAAGCATAAAATAATGATTGAATATGAAGCACACTGGTGCTGAATTGTTGCTGATGGGAAGGATGGCATATAGTTAAATCCACCAACAACAAACCATGGAAAGTGTCGACCGCATTTCATACCTTTGTCTGTCACTGCACAGAGCAGGACAATTTACCGACTCTTTCGAGGCATGATGCGACGCTATTATGCTGCCATGCCTGGGGTTTTCGAAGTTCAATTCGCCTGGAAATATAATTTGAATATTAGGTTGATACTTCATTGATATCAAGTTTTAGGTGAAGATTAAAATGGTAAAAAACATAAACTTTGATGAGTGTACGTATTGCGTTCATTCAGATTAACCTCTGCCTTATGCAATTGACCATTCTGGGCTCCGAGAGCTGTGAATTCTTTTCTTAGAAACTTTATGCCCAATCATCTGGCGCAACAGAAATCTTTAGTTATACGCCTGTTGCCAAAATTTTATGACTGACCAAATCATCGACAGCTATTCTTGGATGGCCCCCAATTTCCAAAGTCTTCGATTTTGTCCACTTACGGTAACTGTGAGTTACACCTATGATTTGCGGTGGGCGGCGTTCTTCCCCAGCAAGATAGTGTTGTGATTTTGGTATCATGTTAGTTCATCTTTTGCACTATGACGCCAATGAGTTGCAACATTAGGCCCTCATTCTATCTATCTTATTTTCCAACAGTATGCGAATCTATATCTGGGGTAGAGCTTAAGGAAGCGTCAGATTCTCGATCGTATGGGTAACTTCAGGTACTAGGTGGGCAATCTGATTTGGATCACGCATGGCTATAGTAAGATCATCTGGGAGTGTACCAGAGTAAAGAAGGTTCTACTACAGATTAGTAAATTGTTCGGAGAAATTGATGATTTTACTCACTTTTTTGACAGTGTCAAATGTATCTTCTCTCTCGGTATAGTCGCGAATTACCTTGCTTGTGTTGAAATCGACATAGATCCTAGTATCTCTGATCCTAACAAGAACGTTATCGAGTCTCATGAACAATCTGCACAAGAGAAGCATTCGGTCAGGCATAACCCGCAATTTGCAAGAAAACACAGATATTCCGTTGTCGTCTAGCTCACTCTCGTATAAAACAACTTCTTCGAAAAACAGAATGGGATCTTGACGCTTAAGAAGGGCAATAGGTATCGGATCGGAGTTATCCAACGTAAACAATTTTCCGTTTGTTATAGTGCCTTTGTAATCGGTTGTATATGACCAGTCGAATGGCTTAACGATTTCTTTGATGCCTTCATGGGTTTTCTCCCTACATCATGTTAGCTTTGATATATTGAAACCCAAAGATTGCGATTCCCTACCTGCTACTTGACCACTCTTTTGAATAGGCTACTTTTAACATATTTTTGTCCGTCTTGTCCACGCGATCCAGGGCATCGTATGCATTGAATTCCATGCGCCATCCACTCGCTACGTGCTCGATCGCAACCATGTTATCACCAAAAATCATCTCTGGAACCGGTATGCCGAGCTTCTCTGACATCTGATCTATTGGACCTGATTTCGAGATTGGGAGTTTACGTGCACTGATTTTGAAGCCTTTCTGAACATGCGACACAGTAGCGGTATCTGCCGCACTGGGCATTGGGTAAGTCTCATTGATAGGACCGTTGAATGCCATGATTGTAGATTGGATATGAACGGCGTGTGAGATAATGAATGATTTATCTGGTCTGAGTCCGATTCGAGCACTGATCAAGTTCAAGATGACTCTTTTCGATTGCGTCTTTGGCGGATATGAAATGCGAGACGAGGTAAAGGGAGAGCTCTAATTCAAGCTCGGTTCAGTAAAAGCTTAGGTTCGAATTCGAGTTGCACTTCCACTTTCACTTCCACTTCCGGTTCCACTTCGAGTTCCAGTTCCAGTTCCAGTTCAAGATTGCTCCTTGTTCGATTCCAAGAGTGATGTGGCGATCGTTTCATCTGGTAGGGAGAATGAATACCTAGGTATGGCGCAGAAGATGCACAATTGTAAGTGTATACTACCTACCTATGCCTGTTTGGTGGGGTGAGACGAGACAAGGCTGCTTTAGTTGTTTTGGTGGGCACGTGGTGAGTGGGGAAGCTTGCCTCTCTCGAGCCTCTCTCGAGCCTCTCTCCTACTCTTCCGAAATCTCACTCCTCACTGGGCAATTCTCGGATCGGTATCGTGTGTTGCTGTGTCAACAAGCATTGACTTTTTAGCCGCTGCCTTTTCCAGCTTTTCTAAATAATAAACTCTCGTCCCGTCCGTCACCTTGGATTTCCAAAGATCTCTTGAATACATCAATAATACTTTCGTTATCATCCACTATTTTACTAACCTAGCAGTCAAACACCTTCAGACACCTTCAAACTCCTGCAATCGACCAAGATCCTTTCAACATTTTCATCAATTCTTGCCCTTTGTCTCGGATATCTCGCAATGGCTGCCCATGGCCTTGAATCGCGCTTTGAGCGGATGTCTGTAAATGATGAGAACGATCCGGGGGAAGGAAAGAAATACATGTCCAAGGTGAATGACTTCCATACCAAAGATCAAGTGCATCGTAGCTAATGGATACCGAGCAGATCGCATCTACTACATCCTCCAGCACACAATTATCACAAAATGCCAATCGAGCAAACCTTCTCAAGATGGCCTTGCAAAATAAGAATACAGTAAACACAATCACAACAGTCACAGCTTCATCACAGGAGCCAGCTTCTCCTTCAAGAAAACCAACTACATCATATCGAGATTCCGAACAAGTTGCCAGAATCGAGCGCAAATCGAACCCTATGTATCAAGAGCCAGCTCCAGTAAAACAGTTTCATCTTGGCATGTTCGAGATTGGTCGACCTCTCGGTAAAGGCAAATTCGGCCGTGTATATCTGGCAAGAGAACGTAGTACTGGGTTTGTTTGTGCCTTGAAAGTTTTACACAAAAATGAGATACAAAAGGGCAAAGTAGAGAAGCAGGTCCGACGGGAAATCGAAATTCAAAGTAATCTACGGCACCCAAATATCCTCCAATTGTATGGCCACTTTCATGACAGCAAGCGAGTCTTCCTAATTCTAGAATTTGCTGGCAAAGGAGAACTTTACAAGCACCTTCGTAGAGAGACAAAATTTCCGGAATGGAAAGCAGCTCACTACATTGCGCAAATGGCTGCCGCTCTGAAGTATCTCCACAAGAAGCATGTCATGCATCGGGACATCAAACCAGAAAATATTCTGGTCGGTATCCATGGGGAGCTCAAAATCGCAGATTTTGGCTGGAGTGTCCATGCCCCTAACGGCAGAAGAAATACTATGTGTGGAACTTTAGATTATCTTCCACCTGAGATGTTGCAGAGCAACAGCAACTACTACAACGAGAAGGTTGATTTGTGGAGTCTGGGTGTGTTGATGTACGAGTTTTTAGTTGGCGAGGCTCCTTTCGAGGACACTGTAGTCATGACACACAGGAGGATAGCAAGGTGCGAAATGACAATTCCAGGCTTTGTTTCCTCAGAAGCAAAGGATCTGATTAAGAGGGTATGTTCAAATTCATCTCAGCATTCGTCTCATACTAATCATTGTCATAGCTACTGGTACTTGACCCCGAGAAACGAATTCCCCTCGAACAGGTTGAGAAGCACCCCTGGATCATCAAGCACTGTGTAAAGGGTGAGCGAGCTAGCATGCGGGATTCAAAATCCACTGGTAGCAAGTCTCCACCGGAGAGTAGCAAAACTCCCCTAGAAACCCGTGAGGAATGATTTGACGAATTCTGTTTTGTTTTGAGCATTGGCGTTTAAGGAGTAGAATGATTGAGATGATTCTTGGGGAGAACAAGTTGAGTAAGAGTTTGGGATTTGCATCTAATGTTTCCATTACACTGGCGCCTATCTTGATATACATTTCTATACCCGAGTACTTAAGTACTGAATACGATTATTTAACAAAGCAAACTTTCTATTATTACATATGCGTATCTCATAAAACGACCTCACTTGTAGATCTCGTCAAAGGGTCGAGTATCCGAGTAACACGAATCCCAAACTTCGTTAACTACCTTTACGGCTTGAACATCATCTTTACACCAAGGTCTAGCCAATACTGACTTGACTGCTCTCCTGCGCACGCAGTCCTGATGTTGTTGCGTTACCCTGTAGTTATTTCTCGTCCAGAACTCTCTTGCCCATCTACATTCTCCGCTCAGACTTGCTGCTCTGATCTATGTTATCGTTTAGCTGTTTTTTCCTGCACTCGTACTAGGCCAGGGCAGACAAACCTCCGAGCAAGCTGCATGTCGCAGATCTCCCCAGTCCACCTTCCACCTTAAATGATCCCAAGCATGCACCATTTCATGTGCCAACGTATCCTCCACATGTTTACTATCCCTCATCTCATTCGCACATAACTGAATGCCATGCTCGGGGCTGAAACCCCCACCTTGCCTCACCGTTTTCCCATCTTCTGTGATTCGTGTGGGACATCTCCTGCAACGTATATTATCTGCATCAAGCTTCCCATTGAGATCTCGTATGTTTTTTTGCATAAATATGACGATTGGTGAGTATTTTAAGTTGTAGTCTCGCCATTCTTCACATCGGTCGCAGTCGCGCTTCTCATGGCGAGCGTATTGATCTTCGCGATAGAGTATCTGGTGGGATGGAGGCATTGTGCCAAGTAGGATAGAGAACCAATTGCGTGTTCGAGCAGTTGGGTCGAATTGCGGTTCCGACTCCTTCGCAGAGTCTGGGACAAGCGGAGGCTTGTTTCCGTCCGACGATGACATTATGGATAAGTAGCTACAACACTTACGCTTTGCGATGTACCAAGTAGAGCGCTGTTTGTTGATACAACAATTGTTCACAAAAATAACTTTTGGTGGGCGGTGGGAAAATTCTGCCGGCATCGGATTGACATAAAACAACCCAAGACAACATTCATTTCTTTGATGATTTGCTAGGTATACATACACATTACACAACGTTTTTTGATATCTTGTCGAACGTGTTCTACATAATAAGATGAACGTTGGCAAGATGAAGACCCCAAAATCTTTAACTATAGTTATAAAGTTAGGTACTTACAAACCTCTTCTTTTCAAAGGCCAGAAGCTGAGTCACGGGATATTATAGGGACCAGTTCCATTGTGGATGAGAAAACTCATGAGCCGTTGTTGAGTATTTTGAGTTTGATTGTTGAAACTGCTGTGAGACTACACAAAGATGGACACAAAGTTATTATTGTATCCTCCGGAGCTATTGGAGTTGGACTTCGAAGAATGGACTTGGATAAGAGGCCAAAACATCTTCCCCGAGTACAAGTATGTCTCGTTCAAAGCAGCTAATCAGTGAATATTTGACTAATATTGGCGGGTGTAGGCTTTAGCAGCAATCGGACAATGTCGTCTTATAAGTCTATGGGATAGCTTGTTCGCTCACTTACAACAACCTGTTGCACAAATTTTGCTCACGAGAAATGATATTGCAGATGTAAGCTCATCATGTAAACATGAATCACTACATAACTTACACTTTGTAGCGAACCCAATACCGAAATGCTCAAAACACCTTGCACGAGCTTCTAGAGATGGGCGTCATCCCTATCGTTAACGAAAACGATACCCTAGCTGTCGCTGAAATCAAATTCGGAGACAATGATACTCTATCTGCAATCACTGCAGCTATGCTCCATGCAGATTACTTATTCCTGATGACTGATGTCGATTGTCTCTATGATAAAAATCCTCGAACACATGCAGATGCACAAGCAATTGAGGTTGTTGAAGACATCTCCGCATTACAGGCCGATGGTAGTCGTTCCCCATTCAGTTCTTATGCCCTCACGAAATAAATGCACTAACTTTCCGTCTTCAGTATCAAGTGCTGGCTCTAGCCTCGGTACAGGGGGGATGTCCACAAAAATAGTTGCTGCCCGTCTAGCCACCTCTGCAGGTGTAACAACTGTCATAACACGGTCCTCTAGCCCAGGAAACATTGCAAGTATTGTGAGCTATGTTCAATCTCTCAAAATTTCCGCTTTGGTCGGTAAAAGCGGTGACATTATTTCGCAATCACAGACACCAGAAACTCTTACGAGATCCAATTCCACACTATCTCTTACTGGTGTAACATCGTCGCTTATGGAACCACCTCTACATACCAGGTTCCTTCCATCGCATCAGCCGATCCGGGACCGCTATTTCTGGCTTCTACATGGTCTCTCTCCGCATGGAACGATCTATATTGATGCTGGCGCTCATCGAGCATTGGCGGCCAAAGCTGGTCTGCTTCCTGCTGGGATTGTAGATGTAGAGGGCAGCTTTGCCCAACAAGAAGCCGTGCGTCTAGTGGTTGTTGAGCGTCCAAGCTCGCCAGATGCAAAGATTGTGGCAGGGTCGGGAGTTGAAGTGGGTAGGGCGTTAGTGAACTACAGTGCAATGGAGATAGCTAGGATTAAAGGTGTGAGAAGTAGTGAAATACATGGATTGTTAGGCTATGCAGATAGTGAGTATGTTGCTTTGAGGGAAAATATCAGCTTCTTCGAAAGAGGGAGTAGAAGTGCGACACCGGTTCTCAGTTAATTAGTAAATTTAGACTTAGAAATGACACTAGAAACAAGTTTGATCATCTGATGATGAATCCAACAATTCTAATGAATATAGTAGATATGATTAAAGAAAACCTGACTTACGAACTTTCACATAATCGTTTTATGTTGATAGAAATTATTATTCTAGTTTGATATATTCTTGATAAATCCCGATTCCACATGTAAAGCACTATAAAGTACTTTTTTATACTAAAATCAACGATATTGAAAATCAATTTTAAGTTAATTAATATCATTATATAACGTGGTTTATTATCAAATGGATTATTTCAAAATGTACCAAAATCAATGCTTTTTAAATATTCGAATTTAAATAATTAATTACTATTTTGTCGAGAAAAAAAATAAATATTGATAACTAATCAAAAATAAATATTCAGAAATCTGAGTTTTGTATTTTATTATATTTCAAAAAATTTAAAACTGTTATTTTTAAGGTACAGGTAAAGACTTATATTGTACTATAAGGGTAGAAGGGCTATGGAAGAGTGAGGCCCTACTTATAGGAAGCAGGGCATACTAATGGTCTGTATCTGAGGCATAAAGGCAACTACAGATCATGTAGTTGGCGCCGCGACAGTTATGACTTTTTTTTATAAAGATGAGTTTTTTTAATATGTTATAAGAGATTTATTATATTAATATGATATGGTTTATTAGTATATAGCCTATATCAGTATATGGCCCACCTCATTTTATATATAAAGTCTATCTATATATAATCATATACTTTATTTATTTATTAATTAAATCTTTTAAAAACTAAATATATAACATTTAATTATAAACATATTATAAAAATCTAATCCTTTTTTACAAATTCGAATTAATAAAAGAGTTATTATAGAAATAGTTTTTTTGTAACAAAAATCGCAACAATTTCTACTTTTTTTAGAATATAATAAGAAAATTTATATAAAAACTATATTTTTTAAAAAACTAGATTTTTATTATTATTTAATATTCTTTTTTATTGAGAAAATAATAATTAGTTATTAAAATATAATTTTAAAAAAAGCTCAATTTTGATGTATTTTTGAAGCGGGCCATATACTGATATAGGCTATATACTAATAAACCATGTTATTATATATTTATATATTACATATTTAATTTTCAATTTTTTTTTAATAAATAAAGTAAGTGTATAGTTACATATAAACAATTTCTGTATATAAATTAGTGGCTTATCCGATGATATAGTTCATGTGATGATAAATCATGACATTTGAAAATTTACATAATAATTAAGTATAGTTTTAGTAAGGAAATTTGCTTAAATTTTAGACCGATATTCATCAAAGATACGATCTGATATAAACAATACTATTCTAATTTTAGAACAAAAATTTGTGAATTTGCAGAATTTGAATAAGATCAATTTGTACCCCATATATTATGTAATCATAGATCTATATAAGTATTCAACTTCCTTTTTAATAGATTTATAAAATCTCTTCTGATTAGTTATGAGAACTATCAAGACTAAAACGAAGTTATTCCAACAGACAAAGGGAATAAATATTCACGGAATCATTTTAATTGAGTATATAATCTTAGATGAACTAATAAAACGATTAGAAGAGAGATGATTAGCTTAAAACAATTGAAGTCTTCGAAATATTAAAATTAGTTTTAGGGTAAGCTCTATAATAGCAAGAAAATTATTTTCAATAAATATATTTGAAAGTGCATTAAAGATGTATTTAAAGGGACATTTAAAAGTGCGTCTATAAAAAAGTTATAATATACTAAGGTATACTTGTCTTAAATATTTTTCAGTATTAGAATCTGAATTGGGCTCTGAATTAGGATCTATATAAGAGCTTATGAGAAGCAAACTAAATAGAAAGCTTAATAAAAATCTAAACAAGAATCTAAACAAGAACCTATCAAATCATTAAATCATTAAGTTATTAAACCCTTGAACAATCAGACTAAAAAAAGATTGAAAAATCAAAATCTTTTTCTGAAAACTAACTTTTTTATTTTTCACCTTTTAAAGTTTTTTATGTTGTTTGCTATCATTAGATTAATTGATTCTCGAAGAAATTCTTCCCTTTCATTGATAATGATTTTTTTCGTTTGAATTGACTTTGTTAAATCTTTCATACAAGTGCATAAATAAATTGACACTCTTATTTTTTCATTGATA